TGAAGAAGTCCCGAGATAGCCGAATCATCATTCCCGGTTAGTAGTATGTCATCGACATATACTAAAAGATATATGCGAGTTCGTCCATCTTGTTTTGTAAGTAACGACTGATCGGCCATACCGTTCAGGATGTATATTATGACGTCTGATTTGCCATTGAGCAAAATGAGAGAAGAAGAGGAGGATCGATCCTTAATCTGATACCATGATGAAAACCAAGAACGGTGAAGAACACGATGGAAGCAGAAAGGGGAGAACAGGGAAAGGAAAACTTTCTTTATTAATGAAGTAAAAACCTTCCTATCATAGTACAACCGATCCTATTATATAGCTGATAAATATAGTGAGAGATACACGTGTCAATAGCGGATAGGGAAATAAAATATGTATTACAATGAATTTTTTGTCTATTCTAACACTCTTAACCTGGGCAAAGCCACAATATCTAAAAACATATTTGTTTACAAATCATCAACACACATAATTTTACTATTTATAATTAAATGTCATTAGGTTACTCTTGTCAAGATGCTCAATTTTACTGTTTTTTTTTTAAATTGAAGTTAAAATAATTTCAAATTAAAATATTTGCCGATCAAATAAAATATTTTTAAACAGTGTATTAGCTAGCTGAAAGAATTGAATTAGGCTTCGTTTGGGACATCTTTATTATTGCTTTCTAAAGTAGTTTTTAAGTACAAGAATTAAAAAATACATATTAAAAAATTACTTTAAGAAGTAATAAGAAACCCGTCCCAAACAAAGGACGACTTTCTCAATGCTTTATAAAGCAACTTTTTCTTTAAAAAATTTTAAATTCGAAACATTTTTGTACTAAGAAACCATTTGATAAAATAAGAAAGCTGTTCCAAACTATTTTCATGAACCAAATTATTTTCATTGCAAGTTTATATTTTCATGAAGACAGATAATATATTTTAAAATATTTATTTTTTGCAAATTCTAAGCACTTTATTATAACCTGGATGCTGTTCCGATTTTGTGGCAGGCCAACTGCTACTCCACTTGAAATCCTTTTGTTATTAATATAGCTATGAAGATAAAATTTTAAATCATCAAATTTGTATTAAGATAAGTTCATATTCAATTTATTTTAAAGTATATTAAAAAAATTTAAAATATATTCTGATTGAAATTTAATTTTGATATCATGATTGAATTTTTTTTTTCAAAAAAATATTAGTATTTTGCTCCACTCAAATTCCCATATCCAAACAAATCCTAAAAGAGGGTGCTATTATTTATCGTTGCTTTCTCTCAAAAAGTAAAAAGGAACTGCTACAAACGTGGCTCTCTCCTCTCAATAGCGAGCGATTATTTCGTCCGGTCAATCGAATGCGTTCAGAGATCAATAATCACGCGCCACATCATCAAAAATTTGATATTTGACACTCGGTATTGCTCGGTATATATTCGGATCGTTCGATTTTTGACCGGACGTAATAACTTCTCCTCAATAGCTCTTGCAGATGCAGGGAAGGTTAGTTTTCAGTGGGCTTTGTATGGGAAATAGAATTTACCTAATTTTTTATGTACCATATGCACTAACAAATATTTAACATTATTATGTGTCAAAAAATTAAGTGGGGAGAGAGAGAACGAATTTTATCATTTTAATTATTATTAACAATTTACACATCAAAAAAATAAGATAATAAAATGAGTATGATAAAAATTATTTTTTACATAAAAATTTTCGAATGATGATTGGTATATCATCAAAAAATTATCTTGATCAAGCTTGAATCTCGAGGCAAAGTTGAATTGAAAAGTTTCAAAAGTAAATTAGGAGTCATGTGAACTCTGATTTCAATAAACTTATAGTCGAACCGAACATCTTGAAAAGATGAACCCAACGACACCAAATTAGATCCAATTTGAGACCAAATGTGTCCAAATCAAGGACCTAAAGCGCATTTGGAAGGTTCAAACTATAAATTGGACAATCAAATGATTTCCAAATGTGGCATGCTTATAGTCGAATCAAGTGGCCTGACAAGATGAATCCAACAAACTCAAGATTGCCAAATTTTGACATTATTAAGACACTCAAATACTCGATAAACGGTCCATAATCATGGGAGTTAATATCGGTCGTCCATTGGAAATACTCCCAACTTGCACTTAATCTTCTCTGAATTTACTGGCCATGCCACTCAAAAAAAAAAACTGTGAATATGCCTCTCATTCTTCATTGAGGGGGGCTAAGTAAGGAGGGATGCAAGGAAGAGAAAGAAGAGAGGAGAAAAAGAGAATTTTTATATCTTTTTGCCACCAAGCTCCTCCTCGACTACCACCCGGCCATTAGTCATTGCCGAACTTTTGCTCGGCCACCATCCATCTTTAAACCATTGTCCGGTCATTAGTCGTCGCTGGACATACAGCCAGCCACCGATTATCACTAGATTTCCTTCTGACCACTGTTACCAACTACAATCTTTTTGACCTTCGTCGTATGACTATGATCTTTCTTATCACAATCATCTACCAACTACGATCTCTCCGACCTTCGTCACCTGTCAACTATGGTATCTTCAACTACCATCTCCAGACTACGGTCTCCCTGACCGCCGTCCCCAGACAACGGTATTTCTAACCTTAGTCGTCCGCCAACTATGATCTTTTCGACCTCCGTTGCCCAACTATGATCCTTCTGACTATCATCACCCGACTATGGTCTTCTGATCTACATCGCTCGCCGACTATGGTCCTACCGACCAAGCGAACATATCAACACTGATTCTTTCAATTCCCACCATGTAATGCACTCTATATGATATATATTGGCTACATCGAGCTAAGGCCTTCTCACTAAGAAAGGGTCTCATTTGTAATAAACTACAAACATTATTGAAATTCATTCAAACTGGGTCAGGCCCCGTGGTTAATTTTTCCCCTTTTCAAAATTTTCTGCATAAAAATTCTGATGCCTCTTATGTACGCTATACTTCTAACATTCATTTGTTTGTGAGCTAGATCTTCGTACAAAACTAAGATATTAAACTTTATATATTTGTTTTCATGCACTCTTGTTAGTTATTACAAGTTGCCAAGATAAAATGATATTTTTTTTGTGCATATACAATATCATTTGATCTCGAGAACTAAGGCAAAAGTTATGGCATGGGACATTGGCCTGAAAATTATGGAGGAGTATGTGCTTGAATATGGCATTTTGGCCTGAAAATCCTTAGCTCTTTCATTTGTAACTTCTATAAGCTCTCCCATGAAACTAGAGAAATTGTTGAGATTTTTGTCAACCACCCGTTAGGTAATCGAGCTGACTAGACCACTTGAGGTGGCAGAAGGATTGGTGGATGGTGGGGTAGGGTTTAGGGTTTAGGTGTAAAGGAAGAGGAATTTAGTGGTGGATAAGAAGGGGAAAATGATAAGAACTTTTTTTTAAGTATTGGATGGATGCGAGGGGCACAAATAAAGATGATTTTTAGTGTAAAATAGAGGTGAGAATGCGGCGGACAGGTTGGTGATTGCTAGCCTTGGGATAAAAGCTAGAAGACACTACAGTAAAATCACTTATTATTGACGGCATTTTTCGACGGAAATTGATCCTTTTCCGGCGGGTTTGTAATTTACCGACAGCTTCCGGCTGCAAAATTTCCACCGGTAAAATCCGTGTAGGAAAAATATTTCTGGCAGCAAATATTTCTGGCAGAATAAGGCCGTCGGAGAATAAAAAAACATTAATTAAAAAAAGAAGATGCCTACCCACCCAACTACCCGCCCGCGCTGCCCACTGCCCGCCTGCCATAGCAACTTTCCGCATCCCTTGTAATCGAGAAATATTAGCCACAACTTTGATAATTTTATATTGAAGTTATCTCCTATTTTACAAAAGAGCTTTTCCTTGGAATGTAAAACTCTTATTTATAAAAAGTATTTAAACCATGTTAAGGGTTTGTTTTGGATGGTTATAACGTTTTATGAAGTTGGTTGATAAGTTGCTATGGGGAAAGCAGCTTAGTTATTCTTGTTGCAAAAAGCACTTCCACAAAAAAAAATCTAAAAAATAATGAAAATGCGACAAAAAAATAGTAGCCAAACAAATTGTGGATGCTATCTAAAAAGTAAAGCTTTGAGAAATCTATCCTAAATACACTCTAAAGTTTAGTTTGGGACGGCTTTCTTACTACTTCTTAAAACAGTTTTTTAGAACAAAATTATTCTTTTTTGTACTAGCTAGAAAGTTGTTTTAAGAAGCAGTAAAAAAAGCCTTCCCAAACGAAGCCTAAATCTTACATTTTTCATGTATCTAAATTTGTGTATATAATTTTTTGTTATACTTAATTAATTATATTATGTGTGAATTATAATTCATTGTTAAAGGGAGTCTCTCTATGGCATGATTGTTTGACACATGGCAATAATAAACATTTCTTAATGCATGCATGAAACAATTTTTTTTTTTTAAAAAGGTGAAAGTCTTATGTGTCCCAGCATTTGTATATGTATGTATACATATATATGTATGTATATTTATATACATATATATATGTATATACATATATTCATGTTTTTTAAATACATAAATGACATATTTATTAATTTTATACTATTAGTGAATGCTAGAAAATGGATATTTAAAATAAATATGAACGGCCCCAAATTATAAAATATGTAATATTTATCATAAAAAGTGTATTTCTATGACTATTAATACAATCATGATTTCATTTATATGAGAGATAACATATGCTTTATGATGAATTCTAAAAAATATGTTATTTTTCATTTCCATCATCAACCTCCACTTTCACCCTTTTTTTTCTTCATAGTCAAACGCACTAATCAATGAACTGTTACCACTTCATAAGTGAGATTTGTTAGGAAATTTTAATGCAATAACTTTATAATTGCAAAACCAACCCTCTTTGTAATTCCCTAAATTATTGTCCCCTCCCCCATTCCCTTTTAAATACCTCCCCCACCCTCTTCTTCCACTCACCCAAAAATCATAGCAAAGAAGCTAACTCTCTTGTCTCTCATCCCTCCATTTTCCTCTTCCTTAAGAGAAAACAATTACAAAAACCAGCCCATACAAATAAAAAATGGAATCAATCAATCCTCCTGCCATAGCCAAAAAACTATGCCACATCGTGCAAGTGATCTATTACATGTTACGCAAGGGCATATCAAAGAGGAAACTCCTATTAGACCTCCACCTCCTCCGCAAGCGCGGCAAGATTGCTGGAAAAGCCCTTGGCAACCTCCTCATGACCTTCCATCACAACCACCACCACCACCACCACCACTACCCCATCAGCATGAAAGAAGTAGAATTCAGCTGTAGCAATACCCCTTCCTATGCTTATAATTACTTCCACGGCGCCATTACCAAGAGAAAGAACCGCCGCCACTGCCACCATGATGATTTCGATAGCTTCGACACGGTAGAGTTCGCCATGGCATTTCAAATGATGAATATGGAGGACTTAGATGCGGTGTCATCGACTTTGCCGACGCCTTCACCGATGATGGTAAGACAATTGAGAATAACTGACTCGCCTTTCCCCATGAATGAGAATGAGGTTAGAGATGCAGGCAGAATAAATGAGGAGGCAGATAAGTTCATAAAAAAGTTCTATGAGCAATTGCTAATGCAGCAATTGGCATCTGAAGATGTCACCCCTGATAGCTACAACTACAGTCGTCGAAGTAGATGATCGGCTAGAACTAAATTATGTTGGGAGCTAGATTGATTGATTCAATAAGGATATCAATAGTAATTAATTACAAGTTATTATGAAGCTTTCTTTATGTGTACTCTTTTAGTGTCTCCTTGAAAGAAATTTGGATTAGAATCTGGTGTTCCAATCGATTTAAGTTAAAATATTCTAATCCAAAGTTTCTTGTGACTAGTTGTTTGGGGTATCTTTTGTATGTGGACAATGAATTGTGCAATGAAAGTCCTCTCTTTTTTTACTTTTGGCAAGTATGAAGACTATGTTGGGTGCATAATGAGGGGGAGTCTTTGTTAAAAGGAAAGTTTGCCAGTTGTAATTTTTTAGCTTCTCCTTTTAGCTTTTCTACTTTGAGATATTTAATAATAATAACTAACCCATCATAATTTTGTTGTTACAATGCAAGAGGTCGATCACAGCCTCTTTATTGTTGGAGGTTTGTAAGAAATTTGTTTTAAGACATGAAAATAGTCTAAATATCGATAAAATATATAATTATATAAAAACATTAATAACTATTATAAATTAGGCTTATTAAGATTTTGAGTAGAAAATTAAATATAGTGTGTTAGACTCAATTTTAATCCACAACTCTTAACATATGACATCAGAGCCAATATAAAGATTTTAAGTACACTAATTATTTCTTCACTCGATATGATCACGAGATAAGGATATAAGAGATTGAAGAGATCAGAGCTGATTAATTATTCATTTATTTTCGTGCATATTCTCTCTTTTTTTTTTCAACACCAAATGTTCTACAAAACCTCCTTTAATGTTGATTTAATTGATTTTTTAATAACTTGCTCTATATTATTTATTTGAATATTATTATATTTTATTAACTACAAAAACTATTTATATTGCCAAAAGTACAAGAATGATGTAATATTTAGCAAACAAATCCAATATTAAAATGTTATCTATTTATTTAACTCATTAATATGATAAATATATTTAGTTAAGCCCAATTAAAATTTGATGCAACTCGAACTAGATAAACAACAAATAAATAAGTTTGAACATGATTTTGAAATTCTGTTCGTGCTCAAGCTCAACTCAAACTCAATGAGCAAAAAAAAAAAAAGAATAAACTATCACTTAGCTTAACTTAGTTCATTTTCAACCATAGGTGTGACAGAGGCAAAGGCATTGCAGGCTTGCAGGCCACCCACCCGTTCAAAATATATTTGATATGCCTTGCAAATTGGAGAAATTATTATGTGCGGAGCCCATACTGGAAGAACCGTCTAGACTATAAATGTACACACAATGTGTACACTAATTTGATACACACTATGTACAAATGTGTACACAATGTCTACACTCACATGTTCGAACGGTTCTTTTCATCTGGACTCTGCATAAAATAATCTCTATGCAAATTAGGAGGTCATCCAACTTGGATTAGCAGGTTCAATCAAAGGCACATTATCTTGCCTACTATTTTTGACGACTTCAAAATCTCATAATGATATGATCATTTTAATAATAAATTTACATCATTTAATGCTTAAGTATATAAAAATATTTGTTATTTAAAATTACTATTTTTCTAGCTCCTTAATTACATCATAATTCATATTAGATAAAAAATTTTATACTCCTAATAATAATGTTAATATGAACATTTTATGAAAGATAAAAAAATTATAATAAGATGGAAGCTATTGTGCATGAATTAAAATGTGTTTCATGCACAAAATTTCAAGTACAATTATAAAAAACCCTCATGTGCCTTAGCAGCTGAGCAAAGAATCTCACTTCTGTTCAAAATATATCATACAAACATGCAAATGTGGGCTACAAGCCATTGCTCTTTTCAGGGCACTTAAGAGAATCTTTGGCACTTTCCAATTACATGAGAGCACAGTACAACCTTAGTACACAGGCCAGTCCTCTATAGCTGGCAGCCATTCCATTCAATAATGCTCATGCAATAAAGGGCAGGGGCAGCGGGCAGCGCGGGCGGGGGCAGCGGGCGGGAATCCAAATTTTTTAAATTAAACAGGTTTTCGGGTTCACCCGGTAACCCGCCGAGTCAGCCCGAACCCGACCCGTTTTAAAATCAGGTCGGGTCCAACCCGGATTTTTCGGATCGGATTTTTGTGTCGTGTCAAATATTGACACCCCTAATAACACCCAAATGAATCTCAAGTCACGTGATTTTGGACTTCTTGTTGCTTAGTTTGGTTGGTGATCTTGGTGGGCGAGTACTGATGGGAATCTCCCAACCGTACTCGATTCTTCTAGAATGACAATGCCTCTTGATACGTCATGCAAAAATTATCTTGATCGGACACGAATATCGAGGCAAAAAGCTAGCCAAAAACTTCAAAAATTAGATCCGGGAGCATATGAACTCTGATTTCAGCGATCTTATGGTCAAACTGAGTCTTGGTGGGTGCCTCTTCTAGATCAGTTGATGATTAGTCACGTAGCAAAATACCTTTTCAGATGTGACAGCAGGTGGATACGCTGTCCCCAACACTCTACTATAGAATGTGTATATTGCAATATTTGTCACAATATTTTTATTAAAAATATATATTATTATCCAAATACCGCGTTGGCCTACACTCTACTTTGTTAGTGAGCATACACAAAACGACAAGTGAGTATTATTTACCATTGGAACCATTTTTTGGTCTTGAAAGCGAAGGGTAGGGGTAAAAGAGAAAATAAACAACTTTTTTTTGCATGGCTGACACTGAAAGGAAACTTCATTGAATGTGTATATTGCGTCTAATAATGGTATATTAAATTAATATATTGCAAGCCTTTAACTTTTTTGGTGTTGAATGATCACTACTTCACATTATTACTATCACTAAAATAATAATCACTCATAATTACAATTTATATAATTACAAATTAATGAGTCATTTTGTAGCTTTTGTAATAACAAAAAATACTTAAAATAAAAAAAAATGATTTTGATATTTAGAAGTGTGATTAAATGATAACATCAAAAAATTATAATGGTTAAATTTGTTACATCATTAATATTATTTTTCTCTCATTTATTGATATATTATATAGTATAATATAATATTATAAATATTAAATTTTATATAATTTAATTTTAAAAATTATTTTGTTATAATTATTGCTCTCTTATGCCAAAATCCTTAACCAAATGAAAGCTTCATATCTACATATTAATTTCTTGCAGGTTAAGAATTGTAGAAGTGGATGATTCTGAATATAACTATTGGTTCCTTTTAATAATACAAATTCATAATTTTGCTCTCTTCTTTCGAAATGACAAATGCTGGATTTCAACGAGCTTTTATAATGATTTAGAAAATCAAATGAGCTTAATGGACGATAATGAACGGATGTTATATGTACTTATCTGTTTCTACAATCATGCAATTCCAGGGCAGCTTTTGGGTGTCTAAGGATGCTAAGGGCATCTCCAACGGAAAACTCCATTTTTCGCAAAACTCTAAAATGTCGTGGTGATGCTCCAATCGAACGCCATTTTATGTGCTTATGCGAAGGTAACGATCCTTCTCCATTTCGCACGTTTTTCTGTTTGAGAGAGCAAAATACCGTACGTGAACAGTGCAATGCCAATATTGGCGTCGCACTGTTCACCCGCAAGTAAATGACAGAAGATTTGGCGTTCGGCTGGAGCGACTGAACGACGTCATACACTCGTTTGGCGTTCGATTGGAGATGATCTAAGGGCTGTCATATTTGTATTCTACGGGAAGAAATGCGTAATTTCTAATTATCATGAGTTTAATTTTAACAGGTTTAAAAATTTATTATTAAGGATTTCTTTATGTTTTCTAGTTTTGTTTTGGTCTTTGCTTGTTTTTGTTGCAATTGGGGTATTTTTTAATAATTTATTTTAAAGTTATAGCTTGAGATTTTAGTATTTTACCTTTTGAAATTATGCATTATAGTTAAATGAATGAATTTTGTTCTCAATTGATCAAAATAAAAAACAAACCCACAATTAAAAATATTCAAAAAAATTAGAGCCACAATTATATTAAAAAAAAACTCAGTAAAGTGTTATGGTAACTTTAATTTCCTTTTAAGCTTATGTGCATTACTTTTGATTTAATTTATAATAAGTTTATGGTGGGCTTTATAATAGAATCCAGATCTACACGAATGCTTTTTTTTTTTCCTTTGAACACCATTAAAGTGTGGGCTCCACTCAAATTGATGGTTCTTACACTAAAAATATACACTTAAAATTGGGATTAACACTCATAAGAAAATAAGAATATTAAATTAAATAAATAAGGTTTTGTTTAATTAAGACAATTTTATATTTAATTTTTTTATGCTTAAAATTTTAAATTAAAATAATTTAGTACATTGATAGTTATTTATTTATTTATTTATTTATTTTAAATTAATTAAGATCAAATTTTACACTTGATATTAATATTCTCACATTGTGGATGTGCTAAGTGTAATTTTCTAAAATTTTAGTGGCAATTATTTTAAACATTCTTTTTGTGCGTTTCCCAAAAATATTAAAATTGTATGTGTGAAATTCTAAAAATGCCCAATCACTTTTTTTAATTAAATAAAGGAGATGAGAGCATTATTGGTGGCCTCGCATTTTTTTAACCGATTCCGTAATTATTTTGTGGTTTTTCCGGCGACTTTTCCTTTTATAAAAAAGAAAGGCAAAGTTTTGTAATTAAAAAACTATGCGGCCAGTCTCGCATGGAAAAAAAAATAGGCGTACAGTGCGTAGCACGAGAAAGGATTGCAGAGAGTGACAAGTGTGTGGCGGAGAAAAAGCCACTTATAATTTTAAAATAAGTATTTACTATCAAAATTATCTTATATTTTCATTTAAATATTATAAATAGCAAGTTAAAAAATAAAAAGTTATAACAAGCGGGATAATTTAGGCTTTCTTTGTTCGATATAATTTTTTATTTTTTTTAAGCTTTTTTAATATAAAATTTTTAATTTTAAAATTATTTACACTAAAAATTTACTTTAAAAAACAATTTAAAAATTGTCCCAAAAATTATGATAATACAAAATTGGGAGTAATTTTTTATCTCATATAGTTGTAAAAAAGATTATAAGAGAAATAGTAGATGAATAATAATAACTATCAGTTGAGCAATAATGGTCAGACAACGATAATCTTATAATCTGAAAATGATGATTGAGCAATAGAAATTAGATAATTTGTGACAAATAATTGAAAATAAACTATAATTGTTGAGTAGTAATGGTTAGACGAGAGCAACATGTTATGGTTGTCTAACGACAGCAATAGGAAGGCTGCGATGGCTGGAAGTGGTTGTCAGTGTAGAATGTTAGAAAGAGATATAGAGTTCTTCAAATTTATAAGCTCTCTCATTCTTAAGTCTAAACCTTCTACATTTAGAAAATGTAAGACTATTTATAGTATTTTAGAGTGCTATTTTAATAAATTCATCCAAAATTTAATAACACTCCATGGCATCACACATGCTAAATCATATGATTATTTATTTAGCATTTAAAACCTCAAAATCAATTGATATTGAGCTCATTAGATTCATCTAATCGAACCCCATCAATTTAACTATAATTATACAATATTTGGATCTAGTTTGGTACCTCAATTAATATCCTAAATTATATATTTATTTCAAGTGCTTAATTTAGGCTTTGTTTGGGAAGGCTTCCTTACTGCTTCTTAAAACAATTTTCTAGCACAAAAATTAAATTTTTGTACTAAAAAACTGATTTAAGAAGCAGTAAGAAAGTCGTCCCAAACGAAATCTTAGTCTCATTTGGACTCAAATCGGATAACCTTTTATAACGTTGGGCTCGTCTTATAAAATGATCCAGTTCAACTATAAGTTTACTATAACCAACATTTCGATGGTCCTAAATTTAATTTTGAAAATTTTAATATATATAAAATAATACAACGAGATTAATGCTGATTTAATGAAATTTTTTATGACATATCAATTATAAAGAGTGCCCATTTTCATAATTGAAAATACGTTAATAGCATATAATAAACTAATCAATGTTCATTTAATATAACTGACCGAACATTATATATATAAGATTTGAACCGCTGACCATTTTTATTTGGAGGAAGTAAATAAAAATTAATTTTGATATTTTTCGAGTATATGAAACGGAATTATTATTTATTTATTTATTTTTATATAAAAAAATGAGACATTAGCTATATATGAAGGCATAAATAGTTTTCAATGAACTTTTGAAGCCTAGCTATCGGCCCATTGGCCTATGCTGAAATTTTGGGCTTTTAATGTTCTTAGTGTAATCACATCAAAGTTTGTTTTTTAAACGATATAATTTTTTTTTTTTTTGAAATTTACATACATATCATTTTATACCATTCTATTTACATATCTAATATTTAAAATTTTAATATTACATACATACCACTCTATATTATTTTAATATCAAATATACCACTCATATTTCCTTCCAACCAGTCATATATTTCATTTCTACCACACACATTTGATATGAAAATGAAGCATGAGTGGTATATATGTAATATTAAAGTTTTAGATGTTAAATATATTAATAGAGTAGTATATGGTGGTATGTATGTAAACCTCCTTTTTTTTTGCAAATTTATTCACATGGAGATTTTTCTTTCAAGAAGGGAACAATTTATATTTTTTTCTTACAATTTGATAAAAATAACATTCATGATATGATTATTAATTATCACATTTTCTGCTTACTCAACCTCCTTTCAAGATCTTATCAAAGTCATTTGATCTAATTTTGAATTAAATCAAATTTGAAACAAGAATCGGAAAGATTGATTCTATCCAAAAATAAATATGATATTAATTAATTTTTTTACCTCTTTAAGTCAGATTATTCATCATTATTTATATATATATGGTGTGTCCTGTAATATTTGTTGCGGTAGAAAGTGATATAGTTTTGTGTCTTAGCGTTGTACGGAGATCCAACACATAAACATATAAGAGAGTATAATTATAGGTTTATAAGGGATACCATAATTTTTATGCGAAAACCTATAAAAAGGAGAAAAATCACATAGCCTAGTCCAATTTGAATGAGTCAACTAGTGTTTGCAATTTATTACAAATGAGGCCCTTCCTTAGAAGCAAGGTCTTGGCTCGATGTAGCAAATATACGTCGTATATAGTGAATTATATGGTGGCAGTCAAAAGAAACAATGTTGAAACATCCGTTTTGGCGACATAACCATAGTTGGCGAGCGACGTAGGTAGAAAGGATCATAGTCGAATAAAAGTGGTTAAAAGGACCATATTCTTGTGATGGAGGTTTGAAAGACCGTAGTTTGGTGGTCCGATGGCAGTCGGTGAGGGTCCGACGATGGTGTTGGAGCTCTTAAAACCTTAAAGCTCTCTCAAATCTCTAGCCAAATGTCCCCTTCATGTAGAGAGTAGGGGTCTAATTATAGATTTTCATGAGTGGCACACTTCGTAAATATAGATGATACATCATGCAAAAATTATCTTAATCAAGCACGAATCTCGAGGCAAAATCAAATCAGAAATTTCAAAAAATAAAATCAGGAACATCTGAACTTCAATTTCAGCGAGCTTATAGTCAAACTGAGCGTTTCGGAAATACGAACCCAACGACACCAAATTCAACTCGATTTCGAGCCTAAGTGAGCCCAAATCAAGCACCCGAAGTGCTGTTGGAAAGCTCGTACCACAATTTGAGTTACCAAACGATCTCCGATTTTAACGAGCTTATAGTAGAATCGAGCGGCTCGACGAGACAAATCCAATGAGCCCAAGATCGCCGAATTCTGACATCACTAAGGCCTTGATATGTCCAACGAACGGTGCACGATCGAATGATTCAATATCATCCGTCCATTCGACCACTCCCTATTTGCCACTAATCTCACACCTATTTACAAGTCACGCCACTCCAAAAAAAAAAACTATAAATATAGCCCTCATTCCTCATAAGAGGGGACTAGAGCAAGAAGAAAGTAACAGGTGAGAAGAGAGAGGAGAAGGAGGAGAATCAGCTCCTCCTTGACCACCGCCGGAGTTCTTTCCACCGCCTGAAGACGTCGGAATTCTGCCAGATATTCGGGAAATGCCGGGATTTTGCACAACTTTGTTTTAATTCAGGAGAAACTTAGTGTAATATGATTGTCATAACTTGTGGGACGAATCAGCTTCTTATAATTTACGCAACACTAGTGGAACTTTTCAATTGGGCGCGACCCCGTGGTTTTTCTCTTTCAGGGTTTTCCACGTAAAAATCATGGTGTTCACTTTCTTTTCTGTTTATGTGCTGAATATTCGTACAACGCTCAGACGTAAATTTGCAAACTCTACCGCCGCGTATATTCTAGCCCGCAACAATAGAGAAGATCCGGGGCAAGTTCGGAGTGTTCCATTAAATGGCCCGTATTGATTCCCTCAGTCTTAGAAAGTTTTTCAATTGTTTAAGTACCTTAACAATGTTAGAATTCAACGATCTTGGGCTCGTTGGATTTGTCTCGTCGAGCCACTCTATTTGACTATATGCACGCCTTATATGAATATAATTTTGTCATCCAAATAATGCTTTGAACCTTCCAAATATGGTTTGGGCACCCGATTTAGACCCATTTGAGCTCGGGTTGGACCAATTTTTGTGTTGTTAGGTTCGTCTCTTTGAGACGTTCAGTTTGATTATACGTTTGCAGAAATTGGATTCAGATGACCCCGAATTTATTTTTGAAAGTTTCCAACTTGTATTTGACTAAAGATTCGTGCTCGATCAAATCAATTTATGGTGATATATATATATATATATAATGAATTTCTGAGTAAGGTTTATATTAATACAAGACCGAGTGGGCTACAAAAATCAAATTCATAATGAATTTAGGCTTCATTTTAGAGGCATCATTCCCTCTTTTTTATTGCTTTATAAAGCTACCAAAGAGAAAATAATTTTTTAAAATTATTGTAAAAAATATTTTTCTAATATATAGTTTTTAAATAGTAAAAAGTTAATAATCAAATAAAATTTATGATTGTAATTTTAAAAAATAATACAATAAGAAAGATATACCAATAGAGCCTTGAATCAAACTAATACATTGGATGGTTAAAAAAAATTCCTAAAACTATTTTTTTTTTCACCAACAAGAAAACAACTGCCTTATTCCTACTTAATAATAATAATAATAAGACAAATAAATATAAATAAGGCAAAAAGAGCCTTTTTGTTGCCTCTCAAAAATCTCTTTCATCTCCTCGTGAACCATTCCTCCTCTTTCTAAACTCCGATCTCTGATTCCGAGCGCTCCTCCCAATCTTTCATATATAGGTAATCTAAATTACAGTTTCTTTCTTTCTTTCAATTTCTACTTTGCATTCTTCGCATTATCGCTTGCGGTTGTTCGATTCTGTACATTCCAGATCCAGCTCCTTAGATTCAACGAACCGTTCATGTTTCTACGTTTATATGGGTTGCAATGCCTCAAAGTTCTCTTTTTTTGTCAGGATGATTTTAATATCGATTTATAATTGTGTTTGCTGATTGGATCTGTGGGGTTCTGTTTGAATGCCGGAAGTGTGTCGGTAAAAGGAAATTAAGGGCAACGTGGTGTTAGGTTAGCAATGGAAGAGATAAGATTCCTTTGACCAATGGGATAAAAAAGGATGTTCTTTTTCTGTTTGTTAGTACTCTGCGCGTCTTTTTTAACTTAAACAGGAAGGTATGTGCTATCTTTTCATTTAATATGCAGATTAGTCAATCTGATTATCGAGTAATCCATAGATCTAATGGTTAACCAATGTTTTTAGATATGAAACCTAGTTCATGATTTGATCCCAGTACAGGATTAGATGGATCTTTGGGTGTTTCTCTCAACTTCATCTCTTAAAAGCTTTTTTCTAAGGCCTCGTTTGGGAAGGCTTTCTTCCTGCTTCTTAAAACAATTTTTTAGTATAAAAATTAAATTTTTTTTACTAGAACTCAATTTTAAGAAGAAAAAAGAAAGCATCCCCAAACGTAGCTTAATTCATCATCAAATTTAAGCGGAAGCATTGTATATCAATTATGAAGGTCAAAGAAAATGTAAGGTGGCTATAAAAGTGGGAACTTTAATGTTGCTGGCAAAAACTTTAAGGCAGTTAAATGTTTAGCACTTAAATCATGAATATTTACAAAAACAACACTCTAATGATTTGGTTGCAACTCTAATGATTTGGCTACATCTTAATGATTTGTTAAATTCTTGATGATTTAGTTGTATCACATACTAATGCATATGCACATTAGTTTATTTTAAACTCTTGGATATTAGCTTTGTAAATAAGAAATATAATAGTTTTATATACATAAATTCTATACCTTTAGATGATTTTAGAGGCTCCCCAAATCCTAATTCAACTCAATTGAGACTAAATTAAGCAAGCAAATAAATTCAGGTTTAAGTCAGTTCAAGTTAAGGCTAATGGATTCCAAATAGGCTTGAAACAAGCAAGGGGATTGTTAGGATTTTCAATGAGAAGAAGAAGCACTTCCTTGGATAGGAGGGAGAGAGGGAAGGGAGAGGGAGAGACCTCAACTCAAATCTTTATTGCTTGACCATACCTCCTATTACAGCCTATAGCCTATTTATAGGCAACAAATAGCTACACCAATGATAATACAAGCCATTCAAGAAATTAAAGAAAGTATAACTCTAAATCTTTGACCAATATCCAACAATCTCCACCTTGACCTTAGATTTACATTAAAAAAAAAACGATATATGCTATCCACAAAGAACAGCTTCGCCGGTCTTCCCCACCAATTGCATCCATCGGACGGTTAACATTTCCTCAAGAACTGCACCACCAACTTCTTGAGTTTCCTGCTTCACGAGCCCTAGCTCACACACACATGTGTCACTTCTTCCGCATGTCTAGCCACAGTCTTATGCCCTATGCTTGCACCCTGAGCCTCTCTCCTCGTGCCTTGTGCACATGCGGTATGACTCTGTCTGCACCCTAAGCGTATCCACCTGCGTACTGAGCCTTGCTCAATGCATGCTCCTTGCGCCCTGCTTGTCTCAATGCGCCTCACACATCCACCAGAGCCTGCCGACTTGCCTGCTTCCACTACACGTTGTCTGTAGTGCCTCCGCTGATCTAACCAGCACGACATCAGGCCACGCCTACGAATACCTCCCTTGCCTGATTTCTTGATCAAGAATGTACTTTTTCTTGATTCCGACAACTACAGATCCGTGGCGCTAAACAGCCCGCACAGGCCCTGACTCTGAGCCTTACCAGTTACTACCACTGCTTCCTCCATACATGTCATCCTTTCTACCATATCTATCCCCCCTGGCACCATCACCAGAAGAGCATTCCCTGACAAAATGACTAGGTTTTCCACATTTCAAACAATCTCCACTGACAAAATCTCACCCTCCACCAAAGCTACGACCACCAAGATCCCGGTCTCGGTCATAGTCACGTCCTCCATCACGATCCCTGCCGGAACTTTGTGGATGAGCTTTATCTATAGTGATAGACCGCCCATCAAGACTGACTCCATTCATTTCGTCAATGGCATCTTCCATTGCTCTTTTTCCATCAAATGTGACAAAACAAAATCCATGTGATAGGCCAGAAAACCTATTTACAAATTACAGCCACAGGTCATCCAGTAATATTCCATTTAAGATCATCGTTTGCAAAAAAACATCATGTCTGCAGATCCTAGAGCAAGATAATAAGCTAATTTTGTGGCCAACAATCAACAAAGAAAGACTCATCATCACAAGGCATTTGACATCAGTAGCTCCAACTCCTTTCAATCCAACCTCAGTCGCAGGTCCTTCTAACAGGCTATGAATCGGCTTCTTTAGACAAGAAAACCTCCTTCTCCTCCACCTAGCTTTATTTCCTCCAACAGTCTTTGATACCAAATGTTAAGATCTTCAATGAGAGGAAGAAGCACTTCCTTCTTGAGCTTCTTGGGAGAGGGAGAGAAGGAAGGGGGAGCGAGAGAGCTGAACTCAAATGCTTAACCATACCTCCTATTACAGTCTATAGCCTATTTATAGGCAACAAATAGCTACGCCAATGACAATACAAGTCTTTCAAGAAATTAAAGAAAGCACAATTCTAAATCTTGGACCAATATCCAAGAGGGATATATGGTATCAAAGTGAGATCTTAATTCATGCTAAATGGGTCCAAAATAATGATTTTATAAATGGTTTAATGCTACCCCATTTTGGAGGCCAAATTTTGAAGAAATTAATAAAGCACAGAGTAAGTCAAGGACAAACTCAGGAATCTAGGGTTATCCAATTCTTTTTCACCAAAAGAGGAAATGAAAAAATTATCTAAAACTCAAATCAAATCTCCTAAAAAGGAGGGGTCAATCACTAAACCAGCAGAGTGATTCAAGAAAAGTTAAGATAATACTATAATTTTCACCCCACAAAATCTGCTCTCTTGATTGTTGATATCATTAGATGAATGAATTGAAATTAAAAATCATTGTTTATTATGTTTGATTAGGAATTATCATATTTTAGTTGATATTTTTGGTGCAATTCATACTTCAAGTTAGATTTGAATTTTTCTGCTGTTTTCTTCTTTTTATTTATTAGAGAAATGAATGTCTATAAATATAACATATATCTAAGCTTCAAATTCAATTGAATAGTCAATTCAATTGGCAGAATTGTCTGTCTCCTATCCTATCATATGAACCTTTCTCTCTATCTTAACAGTCTTGCTTTAACTAGGATAACCCATGCCTCTCTTATTTTATCTTACAAATCATGATCCAAAGCATGCAATGTGTATCTTGAAGCCTGTGTATCTTGAAGCCTTTAACATGAATCCCAAGCTACAAAATTGATTTCCAAGGTGTAAATCTCAAAATACTAATTCCTCTCTCTCCGATCTATCCACTCTCTCTCTCTCTCTCTCTCTCTCTCTCTCTCTCTCTCTCTCTCTCACACACACACACACACACACACACACAATTTTAGCTACATTATCTTTGTTTCCTTCATTTGGCAAAAAAGAAAGAAGGATTAGGGTTTTCATAGAAACCCTAATCTGGTTATAGATCTCTACTAAATGCATACTGCATAGTAATTTTCTTTACGTTGATCATTTTCCTCATCTTACATGAAATCTTGCATTATTTCTTATTTGATATCTTAATTTAACTTATCATGCATGTGTGAAAATACATTGTGTGTGAGAGAAACCCTAGAAAATCTGGGTTCACTAAAAACCCTATATTACACAAACAATCCATAATATTCCTTGAGTTGATATCATAATAAAATCATATTGTTGCGTTCAGTTAATTTAGAATGACATGGCTATCAAAACATTTGTTGCACCTGAAGGAATTTTTATCTTAGAAAATCTAGATTAAAAAAGAATAGAAGAGAAATTTACAAGAATAAAAAATAACCTTGCTTAATTTATTAAGCAAGTTTTCCATATAATATCTTGCATTCTTGAAAGAGTAGCAACTCCAGGTATTGAAATCATGATATCAAAATTGATCTCGTAGTGAACTGCAACATTATTTGGGTTGAATATATCCTTAGAGTTAACTACAAATTATATTTGCTTTATAACTAATGGAAACTAGCATGGAAAAATGAGTTTAAAAGGGGGAGTCAAGATTCGTGAGGCTTTCCAAATTCTAATTAGTATGCAAATTAATCCGGAGCAGACTTAGCCATGTCAAATCAAGGCCAATATACTCCACATGTGCTTAAAACATGTAATAAGCCTTTAGTATCATGGTGGATTATGATTAATGCTAAACGAGTTTAAAGCATTCAGAATTTTGGAGAAATTAATAAAAAAAATGGAGGAAATCAAGATTAAAATCAATGATTCAATGGAATATTCCAACTCCCATGCTTAAATAGGAGATATGTGAGGAGATGGGGAAGCAACCCAAAATTCAAATCGTATCTTCTCGAAAAAGAGTGGTTGAAAGAGAAGATATTTACGGGAAATCAAGATAATACTCTAATTTTCATTTCATAGAACCCTTTTTCTCTTTTATCCACATCATAATGAGGATGAATTTGAATTCAAAATTCATGGTTTAACGTGTTTAATTAGGAATTATCTTATTTTTTTAATAATTTCAACATAATTCCTAATTTTTAAACAGATTTAAATTGCAATTTGAATTTTCATATAATTTTCTTTAACAGGGAAATGAATGCCTATAAACTAGAGTATACTTTGCCTATAATTTCAATTGAATACATTTCAATTCGATTTGTAAATAGTCTCTATCCTATCATTGGATCCTCTCTCTCTCCTTCTATTTTTAGCCGAAAAAAATACATGGTGCCTCTTTCTCATATTTTTCTTTCATAAATCATAACCCAAAATAAGTGAACATATCTCAAATCCATTAATAAGATTACAAAGGTAAGGGGGCTCATTTTTTTAGGCGTAAATCCTAAAATACTTGATTCCCTCTCTCTTTAAAGGTTTTAACCACATTCTCTTGGTTTATTTCATTTGGCCACCACACATGGCAAAAGGATTAGGTTTTGCATGGAAACCCTGATTAGGGTATATATCTCTATTATATGCATGATATTTCTCTTTATGTTGATCATTTTACCTATCTAACATGAAATCTTGCTTGTTTCTTAGCCTAAATATGCATGCATGAGAGATATTCTACATGAGAGAAACCTTAGAAACTTTGAATTCTCTAAGAATTCAAAGGTTCATAAATAATTCAACTAGTTACATAGCAATGTGCTTCATTATTCTTGAGTCAATTTGAAATCATAATGCAATCATATTGTATAGTCCAGTTAATTCCAAATCAATTATTTAACAAAAGAGAATGGATATTTAGAATTTCAAGGGTACATACATTATGAGAACATTGCACTCACTGGATGCATTCTTACTCTTGAGTTTTAAAACCCCGGGATTTATTGCATCTCATAATACCCAATGTTTTTCTATTCTTTCATCTTTACATCCCGTTGACAAATTCGAAGGCTCAGGTTCTCTCTTTCTCTCATACCTTATATTTAACTACTGGTAGAATTTATAGGCTGCATACTGGTAGAAAACAGCTACCAACGTACAGGAAATTGCTGAATTTCAGAGAAATTCAATAAGTTTGGTGCAGGAAATTCAGATTTGCTAAAGAAAACAACAAACAAGAGTCTCCAATTCAGTAAACAAACAAGAAAAACAGCAAACAATATAAATTTCTTCAATTCGAGAGGAAAAAACAACTCTCCAAATGTCTAGCCAAGAGACTAGAGCCCAAGCACACCAAGGAGATCCCAAATTCATATTCAAATTCAAGATGATCCCTAAACCAACAAGAGAGACTAATTAAAGCAAAATAAACATTACATAATCCCTAAATAGCCCCTAATTCAAAAATTTCCTCCCAAATTAATTAAGCTTTGGGCCCCACCAAGGCTTCCGCCCCCCCTTCTGATGTCCGCCCCTCCCTGTCTGGGCCGGCGGGTGTAAGCAGAATTGATCCGAGTTGGACCGGTTCAGATCTAACACATACCATATACTATAATACTGGTAGTGTTTATGGAGGCACTCTGTTACATGATCTCTATTCATCCTTTTGCCAAAGAAACCAACTTCAAACTATGCTTCACTGACATTGAAGTTAGAACTTAAAAAACTATTAAAAATATGAGGCAAAAAAGAAAAAAAAAAATCACGATCTTTCCACTAACGTTAATCGACTATTACATGAACCATATCCTTGCTTGCAACTTAGGAATATTAGGACGATCATAAATGCAAATATTCTAGCTTGACTAACCTCGTTTTAGTTCCATGCTTCATGACATTTTGTTAGGCTAATTCTAAAAACTCTATCTCACAAACTTGATAGGCATATTAATTTTTAGAATCAAATATACTTGAAGTTCAGTTTATTTAGTTATGGATTTAAAATTTGAGGCTTAAACGACACCATTTGAACATAGAATTGTAGCTTAAAATGAGGTTTTTTTGAAATTCTGCAGAATTGTTAAAAGAACTGCAATGTTTCACCATTCAAGCAATCGTAATCACAGGCCCAAAGGCTCCAATGTGAAAAAGATACTTCAAGTGGTTGTGCTTCTTGCTGTTGCTTGTTGGCTATTATACCAAGTCAAGCATTCTCGTGATAAAAAAACCGAATATGTTGGAAATGATGAAAAAAAGCTTAGCAAGGGAGCTGAAGAAATCTATCTTGGCCGTAAAGGTGATGCTGGTTCTGAAAATGTTATCATCATAGACACTAATGGTCAGGGTTCTGATGAAAGCACTGAAATCAAACAAGATGAAATTCAGCATAATTCTTCGCATTTAAATAGTGATGATAAGTCTAATGAGATTCCTCAGAATCATGAACATGAGGATTCTAAGCAAAGTAATATGAATAATGGTGAGAAAGAAAGTACACAGGAGGAACATGTTGATTCTCATGCTAATGATGGAGAGGAAATTTTGCACTTGCCCAGTGAGAGGGAGAAGTCTTCGGACCAAAATGACAGTACTGATGGAGGCAGCACGCATGAAGAAAATGATCATTTAAAGAAAAATGGAGTAAGTGGAGAGGTCAAAAGTGATTGGATTGTTGGTGATAAAGTTGAGTCAACAATGACTGGTGAGGAGACCACTTCAATCTCTGGTGATCAAACTGTAAGCAGTGAGAATGTTGGAAAGGAGAACGAACAAAAAAATGGTGAAGCTAGTAATCAAGAGGTGGTATCAATGGATGATGAAACTAACAAGGGGGAGGAGCTTGGCTCTGATGATGAAAATATCAAGTCTCTTTCTAAGGCTTCTGATGATAATAAGATTGATCAAGCTGATATTGGTGAAAGATTTGACGATGAGCATGTTAGTTCACATGCAGGGGATTCAGTAGAATTTAACATTGATACTTCTCTCCAGAATGGCAATGAGGCTTCTAAAGAGAAAGAGATTGAAACTAAATTGGAAAAAGCTGCTGAAGTTGAAAACACTGATAACAACTCTTCAGGAGAAATTAAGATCGATGGTGAATCTGAAAAAGAGATTGAAAATTCATCCTCCAATACAGAAGTACAAAACTCTAATGATGCTTCGAGTAATGTTTCTGTTGAATACCAATCAGATAAAACTTCTGATACTGAGGGAACCACAAATGTAGATAATGGACAAGAAACTTCATCAGAAGCTAATAATAACGAGATTGTGGAACTGCAAACAAACAATGAGGATGCTAAGGTGGAAACTGATTCTGAAAGAAGGGATGCTGGTGAGGCTGGAAATTTTGAAAATAATTCCGTTGAATCTATTGAAGAAATTGAGAAATCATCTGAAGGCACTGAGCAAAGCGGTTCAGATAATGGAAAATCTGATGATGTGACTGGTTCTGATCCAGGCAATGAAATATCAGGAACTGGTCATGAAGATCATATAGCTCATAAAGAAGAAGGAAAGAATGACGTTGCATCAAGTGATGAAGCCATAACTTCAGATGATTCAACTAACGAAATTTCAGCCGGAGAAGCTGTTCAAACTGAAGGAGGCAATATCTCTGAGGCTGAGAGCATCAATCATGGCAACACCGAAACAGTGAAAACCGTTCAAAGTTCTGACGTAGAGACTAAACAAGAGAACACAAACTCAAGCGCAGAGGGAGAGGCTTCAGAAGAAAAGGTAGTTTAGTAGGATAGTGGAAGAATGCAGTGCCATTCGAAGCTTTGAAGCTGTATAGTCCGTTTTGTTTCCATCTCCTTTAATGTGTTGTGAAGTACTATGGATTTTTCCTTCTATTAGTCTACTATTCTTCCTGCTTCCAACAAATGCTTCAAAAATTATCATTAGAATTTAGCTTTAATGTACTTCCTTTATGAAATTTCTCCCTTTTATTGCTTTGAGAGGTGTGTATATTAGCTGACAGTAAGCCCCTACAGTTCCATGCTTGCTGCTGCATGGGAATGATAATAAAATCCCTGAGATTATTTTGTTTAATTTCTGTTTTCACTTTATTACTTCTTTTTCTCTGTTTTTAGTTATTTATTCAAGTTCAAGATTTCAGCTGTAGCTTTCATATGTTCTGATGAGGAAACACATCGTATTCATCCAAGTGGCGAGTGTAATGGTACTTGTTGCATCTTGAAACACTCATGGTGGAAGAGAGATGGGTTGTTTAGCATCCTAATTTTCTAAGAAAATATAACATCTATAACGATAAAGAGAGAGTGCAAGAGTAATAAGAGATACCAAAAATTTTACGTGAAAAATTCTAACAACAACATAAGCCTTTGTCCTACTATGTGGGGTCGGCTTCATGAATTCTTTTTCTTCATTGTGTTATGTTAAAAGTCAAAATTTCGTTTAAATTTAATAAAGAAATATCATTTCTATTATTTTCTAACTAAGTCTTTTTAGGCTATCTCTACCTTTCTTAACATAAGTCAAATCTAATATCTTTATGTGAAAGTTTTTAAAAAGGCAAAAAATCACGGGGTCTGATTTAGTTGAAATGGTTTAATTAGTGTTTATTATTAATAATTTTTTAAGCATTTGGGGCCTATTTGGGTTTATATTGGACTGATTTTGATGTCATTGGTTTCGTCTCTTCAAGAAATTTAGTTTGACTACAAGTTTGTTTAAATTAAACTTTGGATGATCCCAAATTTAATTTTAGAAAATTTCAATTTGAATATGTCTTGAGATTCATAATCGATCAAGATAATTTTTGATGACATATCAGTACAATACCTGTTATTAAACTTATATGTAATTAAGGGATTAAGCACGCTTAAAAATTAAAATAATTAAGCTCCTCCACAGTTGTTATGAAACTTAAAAAGTAGAATTTCGGAGGACTCAAAACATGCATGCATATTATTATGCCCTGGAAATAGTATGCATGCATGTGTTGAGTCCTCCAAAATTCTACTTTTTAAGTTTCATAACAACTGTGGAGGCCCTTAATTATTTTAATTTTTAAGCGTGCTTAATTCCTTAATTACATATGTAATGTAAAGGTTTGAGTTTCAACATGTCTTATCACAACAGATTCACCATTATTATTATTTATTTATTATTAAAGAATACTTGCTTATTAACTTAAATAAAATTTCAGTAAAAAAATCAAGTCTTTAAATTGTAATTATCTTATAATTTTGAACTAGGGGCCTAGGGGAATTTACATGCATATCATAAGATTCTTATATATTTATAGATTTAAAATTTAAATATTTATACTTATTTTCTTAATGTATATAAATATATTTTATTATGATTTAAATATTAAAGTGATATATAAGTAAATATAAAAATTTAGGTGTTTTATGTAAATCTCTTCAAATTTTTGCTCTTGACATTTCACCCAAAATAAAATAAGTAATAAATATTTTAATAATTTATTGAATTTAAAAATCCCAATTGGGTTCTAACTTAGTAATTTATATTTTAACTTAACTTTAGTTTTTTGTTAATTTTTTTTAAAAATTGATTTTAATTTAGTTTTTTTGTTAATTTGTTGGATTTAAATTTAATTTATTTAATAATTTTATATGAATTTTATTGGCCGTAAATGTTTCATACTTTCGTTCTTCCATTATTCTCATTATTTATAGAAAATTAGAGGGGTAGGCGTTTAGCAGCGTTTGCTTTAAGTTAATTGCAACACTAAGAACACTTCCTTTTCTTAAATGATGAGGATGTTATGCAGAAGGCAAATGCTTTTTAATGATAGTTAATTCATCAATATCCTTTCTCTCTCTCTTTATTTGGTCCGGTCACAGGACGTAGCCCTACGTTCGGCCGTTAATAGAATCGCGCCACGCGTTCTCACTATTTACCACACGGCCCGACAACCCGACCCGGAAAGGACCCAGGATGGCTCGATTTTTCTCGATTTTGCTAGGTATTGCTCGGTATTGCTAGGTACTGGTCGATTTTGCTCGACAATAACCAATACCGAGCAAATACCGAGTTGTACCGAGATTTTCTAAAAAACTCGGTACAACTCGGTATTTCTAAAAAAACTCAGTACAACTCGGTATTTCTAGAAAAACTCCTTACAACTCGGCATTTCTAGCAAATACCAAATTTTTCTAGAAAAACTCGGTAAGAAAAAACTCGGTACAACTCGGCATTTCTCGGTATTACTCGGTATTTGTCTTCACAGAGCGGTATTTCTCGTTATTGTCAAGCAATACCTAGCAATACCAAGCAATACCGAGTAATACCTTGCAATACGCGAACATAGCATTCCCGGATTCTGGTTCGGTTCATGTCGTCGGGCCGCGCGGTAAAGAGCAAGAACACGTGGCAACATATTATTGGCAGCCAAACGTAGCTCTACGTCCAGTCAGAGGACGTAATAATTGTTCCTCTCTCTACTCTCTCTCTCTCTCTCTCTCTCTCTCTCTCTCTCTCTCTCTCTTCTTGGAGAAATTATTTTGTACGACGTCCGGAGGCGAATTGTGCCAAATCACCCAGTACACAATTCCAATACACGCTAAAAAATTAACATGGCATATTCTGATCGCCTCGCAGAGAATAATTTCACCTGATCTTGACACAAGTCCAAGAAATTTAAAATTCATCTAAATCATTTTTTGGTTAAATATTTAAAACAATTTTGTTTTCTTATAATAATATATAAAAATATGAAAAAAAAAACTTTTTCTAATTAAAATACCAGAAGCAACTTCTTAACATTTCGCCAGGAACACAAACGAGCTTTTTATTAAAACAACATCGATTACTAAAATCATATTTACATCTTCCAGTCTGATTTCACAGAATTACAAAGAAAATTTTCAGAATAAGAACACCATAATCATGTCAAAATATCTGAGAAAACACGTATATAGATACTTGTACCAACTATAACTTCATCAAAATCGCCTTCCTATCCAATGAAGAATGACTTCAGATGAATAAATTCATTCAGGCAATCGCCAACCTGCTACCCCCTTTGCTGGCCATTGATCCATAACGAATGAATGTTACTAGCTACTGTAAATAAGCCAAACTAATACCTTCCATTCATGACCTTTTACTGCTTCAATCTGTTCTCCATCCATTCAATGATATCTGTACCAATCTCATCACGTTCAGGCTCGAAGAGAAGGTCATGTAGAAAGCCTTCATAGAGCTTGATATTCTTGTGCTTGGACGCAGCCTCGTTGTATAAATCTTGAGAAGCAAGAGGATCTGTGACTCTATCAGCAGTTCCATGAAGAACAAAGAAAGGAATGTTGACTGATCTTATATTTTGCATGAGGTAGGAAGATATGCGAAGGATTTCATGGCCGGTTCGGATTCTTATGGGTCCAGTGTAGACCAGTGGGTCTGAGTACTTGGCTTTCATGGCGGCAGGGTCTCTTGAAACTGGAATGCCCTTTTTGTTTGCCCCCTTGAATTGATACTTGGGAAGTACCAGGGAGAATATTGGAGCCACAGCCTGCGATGTAATAGAATTCATTAAAGATATGAACTTCATCCTTTAACTTTCCTTCACAAGTAGAGAAATTATTACGTGTGGAGCCCAGTTATGTTCGGACTCCAATAAAAACGTGACATGTGTTCTTAGTTGTACACACTATATACAAATTACAAAATTATATATATATATATATATATAATGTATATAAATTTATATACATAATATACACATTATATACACAGTTGTACACACTGTATATAAATTTGTATACACTGTGTACAAAGACCCATATCTCCCACAAGTGACGTGAACATAGAGATTTCAAAAGTAGATATACTATAGTGTTGCAGCTATAAAAAAAATTATTGTTTGTTTTTTTTTAAGAAATAATTACCACAATAGCTTTCAAAAAAACTGTTTTTAGTTTTTACTTTATCAAATTCATAATTAAGGCTTCGTTTGGGACGACTTTCTTATTATTTCTTAAAATAACTTTCTAATATTTTTTACTAAAAACTGCTTTAAGAAGCAATAAGAAAGCTGTCCTACATGAAGCCGAAATGTAAATAAAATTAGAACTATCCCAAACAAACTCAGAAGCATAGGTGGCACCAACTTTAGAATAGATCAAATACAATTGCGGCCATCAATATAATAGTAGATGCTATTAGAATCTTTCATCAATAAAATTGGATAGTATTATGACATGTAAGACAGCCCATTATTACACTGGCATTTTACATAATTGCAAACATCACAAGGCATTAGATATTAACGCTTCGTTTGGGGCAGCTTTTTTAATGTTTTCTAAAACAACTTTTTAGTTAAAATTTTTCTTGAATTTAATATTTTTACACTAAAAAGCTGCTTTAGAAAGCAATGAAAAAGCCATCCCAAACGAAGCCTAAGGCTTCATTTGGGATAGCTTTCTTAATGCTTCATAAAGCAGCTTTCTAGTACAAAATTAAAACTTTTATACTAAAAAGCTATTTTAAGAAGCAATAAAAAAGCCATCCCAAACAAAACCTAAATTGCATTTTAAAAATAAACTGACCAATAGTGCATCCATCATACTATATCATGCATTAGAGCAGAGTTCAAAAATTTACCCCAACTAATGCGTGAGCTGGTTTGACACGCAATGCAGGCGACGTTAGTATAATTCCCTTCAATGCTGCTACCATTTGAGAAAGCAAGGCTGCCTAAATTGCCAAAAAATGCAAAAGAACAATAAATAATATTGAAGAAATATTGCTAAAATGTCGATGAAATCATAAGAAATTACTACTACCTTCAGCACCACCGCACCACCAGTTGAGTGGCCAAAGAGAAAGCAAGGCACACCAGGATTTTCTGACCTGATCTTTTCCAGGAATAGTTCCTATATATACACACACACAACCGTTAGAAGCTGTGACAGCAAGGAAACTGCAATATTCAAATTGAATTTTTCTTGATGGTTGGTAAAAGGCAGACAAGTGCAAAAGACTCCAGCTGTAAAGAAAAAGTTGACAATGACGCTACATAAATAGGGCTAACTGAAATAATAATGAGACATGCAACTTACAGTGTCTGCAACCACCCAGTCTAATGAAGGTACATATCCATGCAACCCATCACTACCACCATGACCTGGAAAAGATCACAAATAATCGGTTTTATGATGAACTTTCAAACAAAATGAAAAAAATCATTGCATCCAATATCAAAAGTGGGGCATCAAAGATGGTTTAAAATTGCACAATTGGGTATTGAGTCATTTTTCTTTTGTCAGGTGAGACGTAAGCCAGAAGTCACTTTGACGTGTAAGCCTCAAATTTCAAAAACTACATAAAGTGAAAATATAATGGTAAAATTTATTTTTTTTATGATACCTAAATAGTATGTTAAATAATAACATATTAACTTTCTATTAAAAAAAAATTAACTTTCTATTGAACTATGAAGTGACAATTTGACATACACATGAAATAAAAAATTACACAATATGTAAAGTGACAAGTGATAAATGCGTGAAAAAGAATTGAAGTCCAAATATTACAAGAGCAAAATAACATGAAATATAGGAATTATGTAAAAATATCATATAACAACAAGTTCAACTCAAAATTCCTTCTTTCTCAATTCTCTACTCATCCACATTTAATTTTAACAAAAAGCTGACATAATTGGCAACAACTCATAAATCATCTACACTGTCACAACTGAGGGGGTCTTTATTTGAGTCGTTGTCATAACAAATTAGTCTCACCCCTACCTTAGCTTGTGGAGTTCAATGCCTCTTAATCAATTTCTTCTTCATTTATTTCAATCATCATTTTCTCTTTTATAAATATTTTTAATCAACATAAAGATGAGAATAATACTCCAAAATTTTAAGAGGAAGTGGTGTTGGTGTGTGGCTTTCAAGTGATTCCTTATAATGATGGCTACAACAAAGGTGGTTGGATGGAGGTCGAGGAGGTTGAGAGAAAATTACAACGGCTTGGGGATACATGAAGGCATGATTTGTTCAGGCTTTAGTTTAGGATTTAGGCAAGGATATAGGTGTACGCCTCACAGCAGTAAGGCGAGGCGTGCCTCAGCCAAGCTGAGGCGCAAGCCTCATAAAAAAAGCTTGAAGCATTTTTCACTGGAATTGCACTGAAGTGGGCCTCAAGAAAAGCCTCATATTGCGCAATTTTAAACAATGGCATCAAATAGAACAATCAGTCAATCACACAAGTAACTGGAATGTATTGAGTAACACACCAAATAGAATAACTAATATACACACACACACTTCAGTTAGTTTGGGGTATCTACAATTATTTATAAAAGTAGTTGTAGAGTTATTATGAGAAAAATATATTTTATATATTATAAGTTTTTTTCTCTTTAGAAAAAGTCGAACAATAGTTTTTTTATATGTACCAGCTAACGCAGATCATGCTAAGAAATTATTCTCCACCACAAAAATTTTTAAAAATTGGCAAGAAAATATAACCACATAGAATTGTTATAGCTTTCTAAAAAATAAAACAATGAAAAAACTATATGAAATAGATCCTTGGATAATGAATCATAAAGGAGTGATGCTCTTTATTAATAAAATAAAGCACTAAAAGTTTATAACTATTATATATATTCTATTTGTTTTTTTAAAATGGTTTGTGATTAGCTATGCACTTACCAAGGGAATCTTAAAGCTCTTACTCATTGAGGGATGAACATACTATTCTTTAATAGACGAATTATCCTAGAAATTTGTTATAGTCTCCACTAGTGTATTTATATATTGTCAACCACACTTCATTTATTTATAGTGAAGTCTATGTTCATATTGATGTTTTATGTAATTCATAGTCAACTTTGCCATATTATTTGTTGATTAAGTTTAATGCTCTTGACATGAACCATATAATGATATAATTTATTGAGCAATAAATATTACATCTATTTACATGAAATAAATATTATTCATACTATTAATAAAATCTATGTTATATCATCTTGTTCATGACATAGCATCCATCTAAACTCTATTTATATGTTAGATATGATCGTTAGTAGTACCTTTCTGATAATAATATTGGTTTATTTGGCCAGCCAAGGGGTCTGTGGATTGACATGTCTTCTAGAAGAGTCACTAAACATTAAACACCATCAAGTTGATGAAAACCTTTATTTCAGAGTATAATCAAAGACTGACTATATAGCATGACTATATAGCATAACGTATGATCAATGACCCAGACTAGCCAATTTTAGATATAAAAATAAGTATGGTATTGATACTGGTTGATATTTTACCATTTGTTTGCATTGGCTATCTATCATCCATTACTTGATTAGTTATGAACTCTAGTACATAGTAATCATTACTAATCAGTTGTTATTTTTAAATAATTCTTCTAAAATATTAGTCTAATTTGACGTAATAATTATAATTATTATGACAATATGCATTAGTAATCATGCCACTTTATTGATCAAAGTATATGCTATATGACTTGTAGCTTATGCTTAGTGAGACATTTCATATACTGTGTTTTTTTCTTGCAAATTTATTCCTATTGATTTTTAAAATTTCAAGCTATTAGTTGAGCATCTTTATAAGAAGATTTTTTTGGGATGTATCAGGCGCTATGAGAAGGTGATTAAGATTATTTATTTGATTTATTAACAATTTATTTCTCTTCTAAGATGAATTGTTACAATAGTTAGATTTCAATTAGTTTTTGAAGAATTAATTACTCAAATGTCATTGTATTTTAGAAGCTCTTATTATATTTTTAATTTATAAATAATGAAAATATGACTGTATGGGCACCTAGTCTTTAGTTTTCAACTATAATTGGTAAAGGCTTTTAGCAAGATGGCATATAAGACCAAGTAAATTTTAAGTAGGGTCAGTTGCATAACATTTCTAGTAACAGAGATATAAGCATCCTATAAACAAATGCAAGAGGATGGGAAATTAAGAGGCACTCGATGTGAAAATTGATAGCCGACAACTCTCAATGAATAAGAAAAGAAATGACATTCTTCTGTGCGATGAATAGTCTAAAACTATAGATCTAGTTCATGAGAAGAGCTTGGGAAAAACTTTTAGTTAAAATCTCTTGACTCAAGTTTGGTCAAGATGATTTTTCTGGCCATTCAATTTACAATGAGATGAGAGAAATATAAAATTTGATTGATTAATCATCTATTGCATTTATATTAGGCAAATTCAATGATTAGAAAATTCATCCCGACTAAAATTGAGTCAGGATATCCTAAGCCAAATTTTCTTCATTTGGCAATGATGAAGGTTGTAAGCTGGACTAAAGATGATATCACAACTTGGAACTTCAATTACAAAGTAAAATAGCCTACCAATCCAATCCATTGCATATACTCCAAAGCTGCATGCAGTCAATTGTGATGCGAAATGTGCATATCTTCCACTGAAAATCAAAAGGATAAGTTTGTTAGCAGACAAGTAGGATGAATAGGACAAGCGTTGATGATTATGCTACATTCTTCCTAACTTGAATGAACAATTTATTTAGCAAATCGTGCATTCAATAATTGACAAATACAAGCAAAAAGGAAGGAGCAATAATGTAATCAGACCTACTAAATTACGACAACAATTAAAACCTGAACAAGATCTATGTATTAGCTTAAACAGTAGCTAATAAAATTAGTAAAGTTTTCATTCTCATAAATAGGACTCTGAAACCAACAACTATCATATGATATCTGACAGAATCCTTAGTATATTAGCTGTTATATTTCCAACTTCTCTTTGTTAAAGTTTCAACAAGCAAATACCAGCAAGTTATATAGAATTGCAAAAAATTGCAAAGCCATAAAATTTTCTTCTAACCTGTGCTCATTGAGACCGTGAATAATCAGCAAAATACCCCTGCATATTTTTAAGGAATTAAGATTAGTCATATAATAGTAGAATAGAAAACAAGAAATTGATTGACCCCAATATATTGTACATTTTCTGTGTAAATGTAGCTTTAGCAAGAAGAACATAAAAAAAGCTAGTAGAGAAAACAACACAATCCATCCTAAGCCTAGCAAAAGTTAGCAATATCATAGGTAGATGTAGCTTTAGCTTGAAGAATAAATGGGGAAAAAAAGTTGAAAAGCTATACTGGCATAAACGATCATAACACATTACTAGCTCAAACAGAAGTTGCGAAGGACTGAAGAATTTGAAAAAGAACATTAACTATAAAATGATGCTAACATCCACAACAAAATCACAAAGCGAATAGTTGAAGCATGCATTTTTCTTGAAAGGAATAAACAATTAAACAGTCATAAACTCCATCTCCATCGATTCCTTCCTAGATTGAGACAAAATGAAGCTAACAACCACAACAAAATCTCCGTCACACTAAAGCCAAATATAATTAGTTTGATACAAGAAACAATGATCCAATCCAGCAATAACGTGCACTTCTTTCCAAAGCTGAATGTGAGCTACAGAGTATTACATTAGCAAGTTATGAACAGTTCAAAGGAAAAGCTACTTTCTTTTTAATACTGGTAGTACAGACCAGGAAGGCAATGATCAGTGTCAAACTTAATAAGAAAAAGAATGGAAGAAAATACAAGGAAGAAACCCAAACATAAGAGAAAATTATATATATATATATAAAAAACTCCAAAATTTCTAATGCCTAAAGGTTAAATCCAACCCTGATTACTCCATGCTGAAACAACTAGGACAAGGAGAAATTTTGATCAAACTAAAAAAGCGAAAAAGATGGATAGAAATCCTACTTCATGTTTCCACTCGCCGGAATCCACGAGCGACAGAAGAGCGCGTTCTTCTTCGTTCCCATTACCACAAAACTCTCGCATCGGCATCTTGAACCGCTTAAAGGAAACGCCATGTCCACCTGCTCCGCCAAAACCCTCCTTTTCTGTGCATCCTCTTCCTCCTTCGCCGACAACCTCCCGTCCTTTCTAAACCCTACTCCCCTCCGCCTCGGCGACGGCAGAGGAGAACCCACCATGGACGAAGGTTTCGAGGACAGCGCGCTCCGTCCACCGCGTAGACGAATAAGGATTAGAATCCATAGAAAAATAGACTGCAGGAAGAGCAACCCGCGGATGGCCGCTTCACGGGAGATGATTGAACGGCGCACGCCCCTGAATACCGGAATAATGCGGCTGCTAGCACCCGATGTGAGCTCCTCAACCGGCGCGATTCCCCTCTCCATCTCCATCCACGGCGAGAAATCTGCGGCGACGGGAACAAAGGAGGGCCTTTTCTTGCGGCTTCTGTACAAAAGGTGCGTTATTTATAGAAAAGAGAGAGAAGAGGAGGAAGAAGAAGACACAGTTGGTGCCGTCCGGCTTCCTCCTCTTAATTCTAAGTTTGAGATTTATGACTTTGTGCACTCCTTATAGAAAATTGTATATTGAAGAAGTCTTCCCGTGTTTCTGCTCACCAGCAAAGAATTGTTGTCCACTTGCTCGGAACTTTACAGGAAAGTACTTCCATTTCTATGAATTTTCAGGAAGTTTTGTATATTTTTTCTGGTTTTATTATAATCACATCAGATTAATATTGGAATGATTTTTTTTGAAAATATTATAATTTTATTTTGGATTTCTTTTTCATGATGTTGATTTATATGAAAGAAAAAAAAAATAGATGAAATATTTTAATCAAAATATAGTTAGGATATATTTTCTTAAATTTATATTAAAAAAAATAATACAATTTTTAATTAATTAATTATATATATGAAGCAAAATTCAAAATAAATTTAATTAAATTTCATATAACATCCTCATTTATTATTTTACCTCATACTACTAGAGGTGTCAAGAAATGGAGAAATTATTAAGTTTGGAGTATAGATGTAGCTTTCGTCCGAACTCCAATCAAAATGTCACGTCAATCTATACAGACTGTGTACAAATGTACAATGTGTACAAGCAATATGACCGACTCTTATTAATCTGCACGTAATAATTTCTATAAGAAATGACACGACCCACAACCCAATTCAATAAATTCAGACTTGGATTGACCTATTTAATAAACGAGTCGAGTTCAGATTTACCAGTAAATTTGCTTTTGACCAAAAAATAGAGATATGTATGTAAATCCTCCTATTCTTGTGAGTATAATTTTTTTAAAATTAAAATCAAATATCACAAAACTTTATAATTAACAAATTATAAAATTTTTAACAAAATCTGGTTAATATATTGGATTTGGATTGATGTTTTTGATCTATTTATTAAATAGGTCGGATTCGGACTGTGTTAATTTCAAGTCATACTCAAAACTAATCTGTTAATTTCAAGATGTTGACATGGACGGTTCCGATTCACCCATGCCGGATTTTGACTTGAGACAATTTGCCCCCTCATACATGGAAATGCACAACTTATTTATTTATTTATTTTTTTCATTTTTTATATCATTCAAGAATTAAAAAAAATAGAAAATTTTAACCATAAAAATATAATAGACGTATTGTCTATTTAATATTTCTTATTATAAAAAATAATCATGGAGATATAGATATAGAAAACAATTATTATATATCCTCAGAAGATCATGAGAGTTCTTCATCAACTTTAAAGAACCTCTTGCTTTTATATATCATCAAGGGATATAGTTTGTAATATTACTCTCGTTTAGGATGTTAGCAATGTCGTCTTGAGACATTATTATGATATATTGATATTAACCACTGGATATGGGCATCAACGACGCCTGATTATTATGATACATTCTTATCACAGCAAAGGAGGACAGGGTGCAATTTGTTAACAAAACTCGAAAAAGATACGAATAAACTTCGATAGACGATCATACATATGTTACAGGTGCTCGAAAGTGACCATTGATCCATTATTTTTAAACAATGAACATAATCAGCACTATAGATATAGCAGTATTACCAATTACATATGAAATGAACAAGTTTAATCGATTGTTACTAGTTATGTCATGAGTGAGTTATGCCTAAGGTTGGCTCAAAGCTAATAAAAAAGTTGATTTTTGGAATATTGGGAAGTTCAAAGGAGAACTTCTCCAACTTGCAACTCTTTATGAGTACATTGAGCAAGTTCACAAAGCAAATACACAAGTAAACAAATTCATTTATCCTTTGAACAAGTTCAAAAACTTGGTCTTGAGGGCTGAATTGGGGTATTTTGTTAGATAACTTGTCTTATATTATATTTCTAGATTAATTACTAAAGGCTATGGGTGAGTTTAGCCTAAATGAGTTTTAAATTATAGATTTTTGAAGTTAGTTCACAATCTAGAATTTATTGGCTTCATTTCGGTTCATAAAATGACTTTACTAACTAGACCCATATAGATTTATGTCAATGTCATACTATGAGTTTGGCTCAGAAGTTGACAAATACATTGTATTTGAACTAATTTTTTACTTGAATTGAACTTAATGGGCTTGCATGACTTAAACCAAGACATCATTAAGCTTAGGGGTGTCAATTCGGGTCGACGGGTCGGGTTCGGGTCGAACTCGAGTTGACCCGGCTCTAAACGGGTCAACCTGAACCCGACCCGTTTTTGCAAACGGGTCGACTATCTCAACCCGGACCCGACCCGCGCGGGTTGCCGGGTTGACACGACCCAACCCGTCGACCCGAGGATGAGGCAGCAACGGCGTCGTGGCAGGCTGGCAGCGGCGCAGCAACGACGGCAGCGGGCTCGCGAGCACGAAGGCCGAAGCGACCTGCGCCAGGCGGAGGCGCGGAGCGGCGGACCGCGGGACCAAGCAGTGGTCATACCAAATGACTTCACTTAAATCATTAGTGAAGGTAAAATCAACTAATATAAAATCTTTAATATTTGGTAGTAAATCTATTTTGTGCCTCAAGTTGTCTCTTAGTTTTGAAAAATTATTTTGTACACTATACAATCTGGAGACCAATCAGAACGTGCCACATCACGCGGTACATAGCAGTACTGAGCACCGATACCGAACAAAAAAATGATGTGACGCATTCTGATTGATATTCGGATGCCATCCAAGTCCACACAGAAAAAAAAAATCCTTTGTTTGACACCATAGAGCTCAACTAGCAAGATGAGAATTCGTCAATCCCATATGACTCCCACATAAATCCCAAATAAAAGAATGAATAAATAGCTTCTCTATCATCAGTAATATATGATCAGATTGGTTCCAACTAACCAAAAGACTTTGAACAACCGACTTTAATGATCCATCATCAATGGTATTAAATTGGTATTACCTTATTTTTCTTTGATATCAACGACTGGCAGCATGCGCATGTGACCTTTCAAATTGAAGCACCTATTGGCGATTAATTATTCTCTGCGGACACGAATGCAGTCCGAAGACCAATCAGAATGTGTCACGTCTATTCTTCGTTGTGTACTGCAGCTCAATACTTCTTGGTATCACTGATGTAGCAGCACCTGATTCACCTCCGAACATAAAGCTACGTGACCTACGTCTGGCCTCAGCACAAAATAGTTTCTCCCTATTGCCAGCCTAGTAGGAAAGAAAATAGAAAGTCAAAATAAGTTCCTGAATAAAAAAACTTGATGGTGTGAAAATAAATTGTATAAAATACCCTCTAAATAATACTTTTTGTTTAGGGTTTACATATACAATTTATTTTATTTTTATATGTAAAATTAAACCAAGTCAAACTCATCTCAAATAAATAAATTATATATTTGTTGTAATTATTAAGGATATCCATTCATTGGAGAAGACCTCTCATCAAGTAAGGTGTCCATAATTGGCCCTACCCAAACTAGCCCTAGAAAAGTTACGTTCGTGTGGGTTAGGTTCGGATTAACCTGCAAACATTTTTTGTGCCTAAAAATGATTTGTTTAATATATATTTTTTTTACATGTGGATATAATCTTATTATTATTTTATCAAATATATTAAATTTTATGGTTAATAAGTAATAAAAATATGTAAACAAAATGAGTTAGCAGGTCCGATTTGGGACATTCGTGTTGCTAGTGTGGAGTTCGGGTTGATATTTTCGACTCGTTTATTAAAACGACTATGGTGGGATTGAACAGTAGATGAGGTGAAGGATGCTTTAATATCATTGTTTGGCGAAGTTATTACGTCCGGTCAAAAATCGAACGGTCCGAATGTATACCGAGCAATACCGAGTTTTTGGTGACGTGGCGCGTGATTATTGACCTCTAAACGCGTTCGGTTGACCGGACGTAATAATTGTTTCATTGTTTGAGTAGTCTATTCATGAATAATTTGATCCATTGCTTTATTGTGGTAAACATTCTTTTTTAATAAAATCATATCAAAATAATTGAGATGCATGAAATTTAATTATTCTGTTTCATAATTCAGCTAAAGTTTATTCCATCTTCGTCATATTCTGTAATAAAGTTGGAATCTTGATCTGCCAGTTCTTGGCATATTAGATAGCACTGGCATATTGGTATGCTTTTCTCTTTGTTTTGTCTTTCAGTAGTAATTATAATTTTATTTAGCTGCTTTTTTATTATTATTATTATTTTTTAGAAATTTTTACAGTGAATCCTAAGACTAGTTATACGTGAAAGTGATCGCATTATATATATATTCTTATAATTAAAATAATATTCTTATTTGTTTATTAATTTTTTATTGTAACATCCTGTAAATGAACATAAAGTAATATTGTTGCGTGCTAGAATATACGCGTCAGTAGAGTTAGAAACTATTCGTCTTAGCGTTGCACGAGTATTCCGCACACAAATAGAAAAGAGAAATGAACACCAGAGTTTTTACGTGGAAAACTCAAAAAGGGAAAAAACCACGGGGCCTCGCCCAGTTGTAAAGTTCCATTAGTGTTTGTATGAAGTACAGAGGTTGATCCGTCTTACAAATCAAGACGATCAGTTTACAATCAACTTCTCACAAAGTTACAAAGTTCTGCAAATTCCCGGCGTTTCCCGAAAATTCAGCAGAGTTCCGGCGTCTTCAGGCGGCAGGAAGAGCTCCGACGGTGGTCGAGGAGGAGCTTCTTCCTTCTCTTCATTCTTCTCTTCTTCTTCTCTCTTTTCACTTGAGTCCCCTTTGTGTAGAATGAGGGCTCTATTTATAGTTTTAATGGAGTGGCATAGCCCGTAAATAGGCGTGAGATCAGGGGCGAATTGGGAGTGGTTTCAATGAACGACCGATATTGAATCCTACGATCGTGCACCGTTCATTGGACATTTGAAGATCTTAATGATGTCGGAATTTGGCAATCTCGGACTCATTGGATTCGTATCGTCGAGCCGCTCGATTAGAGTATAAGCTCATTAAAATCGGAGACCGTTTGGTAACTCAAATTGCGGTTTGAACCTTCCAACAGCGCTTCAGGTCCTTGATTCGGACCCATAAATTTGGGCTCGGATTGGGTCGAATTTGGTGTCGTTGGGTTCTTATTTCCGAGATGCTTAGTTTGACTGTAAGCTCGCTGAAATTGGAGTTCAGATGCTCTTGAAATTAATTTTTGAAGTTTCCGAACTGATTTTGCCTCGAGATTCGTGCCTAATCAAGATAATTTTCTGAGAATACATCAAATATGATATTTTTATTAGATTTAAATGAGAATTTGACTCTTAATATATAAGACGGAATGTAAAAAAAATAATTCACGTAAGAGACCTCATGTAATGGGATAAAAACTTATGTTTTTATTGATGAATCGCAGAGATCATTTTACACTCACCATCCTCGTCCCACTCACCACCTCTTTTAAGCTTTTATTTTAATTGAGGCTATAGTTTTTTCTTTGGCTAGTTTTCTTAAAGCAAGGCATATTATTTGGACGAAAAAAAGTTAATTTTATTTTGATTTTTTTTTTGAAAAAATCCTTTCATCATATAAAAAATTTGTAGTTACTAAGCAATTTGAAAATATGAAAATTCTGAGTAGCATTGCCGCGATGTGTTTGCAAGTGCAAAGGCTCTGAAAAGCATCACCATGATATTAAATTGTATAAAATACACTCTATATAATTTTTTTGTTTGTTTGCTAACATAATTCAATTTGTTTTATTTTTATATGTCAAATTAAACCAAGTCAAACTTATCTCAAATAAATATATTATATATTTGTTATAATTATTAAGGATATTCGTCATTCATTGGAGAAGACTTCTCATCAAGTAGGGTGTGAATAATTGGCCCTACCCAAACTAGACCAGAAAAGTTAAGTTCGGATTAACCCGCAAACTTTTTTTTTTTTTACCTAAAAATGACTTGTTTAATATATATTTTTCTTATTTTTTATACTTACGGATATAATCTTATTATTATTTTACCAAATAATACATTAAATTTAATAGTTAATAAGTTATAAAAAAATGTAAGCAAAATGGATTAGCAGGTCTGGTTTGGGACATTCGTGTTGCTACGGATTGAGTTTGGGTTGATATTTTGATCCGTTTTATTAAAACGGGTGCGGTGGGATTGACGAACAATTATTAGGTCCGGTGACCGAACGTAGTTCTACGTCCTGGTCACCATTGAGATCACGCCACGTGCTCTTACTCTTTACCGCGCGGCCCGACGACTTGACCTGGATCGAAACCCGGGAATGCTATGTTCGCGTATTGCTAGGTATTACTCGGTATTTGCTTGGTATTGCTCGGTATTGCTTGGCAATAACGAGAAA